AAGTTAGCTGACAAAGGAAAAAGCCTTAAAAACAATCCTAGTTATCGAGACTATTACATTAAGTTGAAAATAGCATTAGAAAATTTAGCAAATCAGTGTGGAATTTATTTTAGTCTTGAAAAATCGATAAGAAATGAGGCACCCAGGGGTCGTGAAATTCTACGGTGCATAAAATATTGTTTCTTTTACAAAAAATATATAACTCTCTTTTTAGCATCACGCAACCTTATATCCAAAGGTATTTTTATAAACGTTAGTTATTAAAAATGTGTTGTATTTCGAACATATTTATAACGCAGTGAAATAAGAAAAGGTGCAAAAAGTAGCAGCCTTCTTGTAGTGGTTCACTCGGCCTTGGGAAGGTAAATGTAATAAAATAAAAAGTCTTCATTAGATTAGTCACGCATAATTTATGGTGAAAAAAACCATGTTGATTTGCAGAGATTTTATCATCGTTGATGTGCTTAAAGATTTTGTTCTTAACAAATTTTTTAACTATTTTGCAGGCAACAGAGTTTAGTATAACAGGTCGATAGTTTTTAGCAAGTATTTTATCTTTCATTTTTTATAGACCGAGCTAAAGTTTTTTAATTTCTAGAGAGTGAGTAGTATTCTAGAATTAAAGAATTTATGAAAAATTCTTGTAAATGGAAAAAATATTTATAGGGGTTTAGATTGGTAAGTTAATAATGTCTGAAATAGGAAAACCCAAGTTGTCATTATTAGTTTATTTAGGTTAATATCACTTTTTTAATAATGGAAATTATTAAGATAGATTTTATAGATAGCGACTTATTTTAAGTTTATTATTCTTCCATTTAGTTAAGCAGTTAATATACCAAGCGGATTTTTTTGCTCGGATTAGGTTTTTAACATGTGGAGTGAGCCAAGGATTATACTTTTTCTTTGTTATTAACCTTGGGTATAAAATATTCGTAAACAGTACAATTATTAGAAATTAATATATTAAACATTTGATTCGCGGTTTTATGCAAAATAAAATATTCCAGTTGATTTGATGCAATAAAGTTTGATATTGAATCGTAATCACCTTTGGAGTAACTAAACAACTGAGATTCGCTTTTGGGAAATGGTTTTGAAACTAAAACTTTTCTAGTGATATTTAAGCGGCTCTTAGTATTATTACCTAAAATAGAATTAGGCAATGATTTTAAAATAGAATTACTGATGTAGGTAAATAATAAGTTCAAAAAATGGTTTGAACAACCATAGGGTGTTTGGACTTTGTAAATGTGATATGTTAAAATTATTGACAATGAAGCAGCCATCATAGGTTTCACTAATTAAGCTATGAGCTAATTTGAAGGATTCAGCGATATATTAAATTAACATCATTAAGTCTATGTATAACCAAGATAAGTATATGTTTATTTTTAACGTTTACAGATACCAAAACTTGTTTGAGAAAAGATTTATAAAAATACTTAGCTTTATGAAAGATAAATGCATCAGTAATGAGAAAAGCTACACAGCCACCTAGATCTCTTAGTAATCTTTTTTTAAAGTGAGTTATTGTTTTAATACAATGGTTTCTCTAAAATACTTTGCTTTAAAATCTTACGACATCTACTTACCTCTTAACTTTATTGTATATTTATGAGTTACTGTTTCTTTTAATTTTTTAGATATATATAAATAAAAAAGCTCACTATTTAAAGTATTTGTCAAGATTATTATTAAAGTTAAAAAAATAGTCTGAAAAAGACTCTCTAGTTCGTAGCTATATAATAATAGCAAATATTTCTAATTATTTTTAACAATAAAAACTTTTTAAAACATTTAGAGAAATTTGGCTCGGGCATATATATATATATATATATATATATATATATATATATATATATATATATATATATATATATATATATATATATATATATATATATATATATATATATATATATATATATATATATATTCATTATCTTAACTGTTGTCAATTTTAGACACTCTTAAAAAATTGTAATAGTAATGACTAAAAAATTAAATTCTTTCTTATGAAATGATATAAACCGAACATATATAATTTATTTCACTTGTATGTGAATTTTTACTTAACAATTAACAATATTAATTTTATAACAGTCGTGTGCTAAGGGGTATTTTATAACAAGCACATGGTAAAATCCAGTTGCAAAATGCAGCGGCCAAGTAGCAACATAGATTTTTGCCTACCTTCGTCTTATAATTATTTTACAAAAAGATAATTTTAAAAAAATAAATTTTTAGTTAAGTATATCAAGTTGCTTAATTAAAAAACAATTTTGATGTTTCAAATTTGTTTTTGCTTTTCCAATGCATGTTTTTGAATTACATAATCATACTTTGTGAGATTGTTCCATATCACTATATCATATTTACACACTCTTGTATTACAGGACTATAGCAACATATATATGGATTGGGTGGGTAATATATCTTTCTATATGCTCCAATACAAAGCCCTGTAGAGGTTTCATGAAATTTTGTTTGGTGAAACCATATCAAGCATAATTTGAAGAATTTGAGCAAAATTTTTTTCCAATAATATAATAGTTTCTTTCTGTGCAGTACTTTATATTAAATATTATTCAGCTTTTTTTAGATTGTGTTTGAAATATTGTTCAACTCTTTTTTTTTTGAGAATATTAAAAAATTATAATTAAAAAGTCGAATAAGATATTTTGTATGTTTTCTACTTCATTTTAGTCTTAGCTTTTTAGCCTTCATTTTAAAAGTAAAATAGTTTATGAATAATTAGTTGTCAGTTTCTGAAACAGAAAGAACATAGAACAATATACAAAGTATGGAGTTAATATATAGTTTTAGCACTAGGAAAATAAAACCTCCATTTTGGTGCAATAAAAAAGATCGCGATATCTTGAATGTGTCACAATAAAATTACTCAGATTAAGCAACATAAAGCTTGTAGATTTTCTCTGCAAGGTTTTTTCGAGGTTATCTGGTAATAGTCTGTTTTTTCCATTGCTTAGTATGTTTTCAGCGGCTGGAAATATCCTTTCCGTATTAGTTGATGTTGGAAGAGGGGTGAGAAACGTTTTAACAATTATAGTAAGGGCTAGCTTGACATCTCTACTCGAACTGTTTTCGTAATTCTCCCAGAAGTTTAGACAGTCTGAGCTTAATTGAGAATCTAGATAATTTTTGGTATATGTTAATTGTTGATTGAGAAATCATGTTTTTTTTTTTTATCAACTTACTCAGAAATAGTAGATTCTTTAGAGACTTTAAAACGCCGTACAAAGTTTGTAACCCCTCAATTTGAGGGGGTTACAAACTTTGTACTTTTATGTAAATTTTATATGGTCATAATTTTTGAAGGCTGAGAGATATTACTATGAAACTTGAAAGTTATTGATGAAATTATATCTAGTTGAGAATAGTACAAAAAACATTTTATCAACTTGTTGCCCCTTGCGTTTGGGTGGGGAATGAAGGTAATGGGTTTTTTCATTCCCAGCGTCCGATCACCGCAACTTTTTGCAAAGCTTCATTATTTGACACAATGTTAAACATACAAATGTTGGAGTTTGCTCCATGTCTTGAAGTTAGTTTTCTCAAATAACAAAAAATTCTGAATCACTGTATATAATAATAGTCTTAATAAAAATATAAAAAAATCTATAAAAATGAAAAATCTTAAACGAAATATTGTAATTTTTATTCACTTTCTCAAGTAAACAAAAAACAAAAAAAAACTTGGAACTAATTGAGGCCAACTTCCTTTCTTAAAATAAACTTTATAAAATGAAAAATTAAATCAAAAACGCCAATTATTATTTGCAGTTTTAATATTTTTAAAAAGCAGATGGATATGCGCTTTTTAATACCTTGTGATTAAAACCGCATTTAAAAATTGTAAAAACATTTTGTAAAAACTGTCAAAAATAACAATTTTTCTAAATAAAACGAAAATTCAAAATCCATGAATTCCATATATTATGATTTATTTTAGTATATATAAAATTATTTAATTGAACCTAGATGTTTAAGCTTCAAAACGATATATAATATTTTCATTTTTCAGAATGCTTTTTTTTTAATAACCTTTGTCCACCATCTCTACTAGTGGTGGTTTAGCATCACTTCTATATGTAAAATATATAGAAGTGAAAAATTAACTAAATAAAGCATTTTAAATAAATCGTTTAAAGCCAATTTATTTTATAACTTTGACTTACGTGCACAAGTGTTAAAATAGCTCCTTTGAAAATAAACTTCTTCCAATCCAAATTCATATTTTGCAATAGCCATTTTGGCGCGCTTAGTTGCGCAATTACGAAGTTTGTTTATACTAAGTATAGTTTATACTAAGTTGTTTATACTAATTATACTATTTATATTAAGTGAGAATATTCTCACCAAATCTTGGTTTAAACAAAACGCGCCTTATTTAAACTACTTGGAACACATGTTGTAATCCACCAGGTGGAGTTTTTCCATAATTTAAAAAAGGAACGCACGCACACACACACCAAAATAGATAATTTGTTTCGATAAAAAACAGAAGAAACACCCTATTTCTGAACGAAATATCAAAACTATGGTTAAACAGAGGATTAAACTGATTATACCTTCGAGCTTAAAAATAGAATTTTCGCGAGCCAAGATCATTAACAAAATTACTATGAAGCTCTTTCTGCTTTAAAAACCGCATATACAAAAACTATGGATATACAAAATGGATACACATAAACCAGTGGCGGATTAAGACTTCTTGGGGCCCGGGGCTATTTTTGTCTTTTGAGGCCTTTTTATGGGTCAGAGCCAAAAAATGACTTATAAAAAAACAAAAAAAACAAGGGGCTAAGCCCCCTAGCCCCCCCCTCCCTTGATCCGGCACTGACATAAACCGCATATGCAAAAACCTTGGAAAGGATTCTTTTTTTTTTTAAAATTCTATGAATATCAAATGAAAATTTAAGAACATATTTGTAATATTATTATTTCAAACATCACAAAATAAAAATCAAGATTCGTTCTTAGTTCTTTTTATTCATTTACTTTAAATTGTTTTCAGTGATAACCTGAATATATGAATATCGTCACTACGAAATATTTTATCGTGCATTATGTTCGGAATTTCTTCAACGAAAAAATGCTGATTAACGAGCTAAAAAAAAATTGTATTTAATTTATAAAATTATAAAATGAATAAATAATATCAAATAGACATTATACAATTTCAAAACTTTAATTATAATTATGTGATACAATATATGTGCGTGCAATACAATATATGAATTATACGAGTTACAATATATGTGCGTGTTTGCCCTCTTGTATTTTTTTTTTTTTTTTAATAAGTCACTTTTCGGCTCTGACCCATAAAAACGATATTTCCCTTAAAATATACAATATTTGCCAAAACAAAAAAAAAATTTCTATAAAAAAATCGCCGATTTCGTTAAAAAAAAAAGTATCGTTTAAGTACGTATCGTTTTTTCCGAAATGAACATTATTTTTGAAATTTTAATATAATTTCGGTTCATTTGAGTACCAGGTTGACATAATTTTTAAAAACTTTTTTTTGAAAATATTAGGGACCCATTTAACAACTTTTAAGTTTAAACTTTTATCACAGTAAAATGTGAATTTCTAACAACCACAACAACTATGAATACAGCTACACTAATATTACTATATATATATATATATATATATATATATATATATATATATATATATATATATATATATATATATATATATATATATATATATATATATATATATATATATATATATATATATATATATATATATAATATATATATATATATAATATATATATATATATATATATATATATATATATATATATAAAATATATATATATAATATATATATATATATATATATAATATATACATATATATACACAAATTTATAATACATATATATATATATAACTATATATATATAACTATATATAGTTATATATATATATATATATATATATATATATATATATATATATATATATATATATATATATATATATATATATATATATATATATATATATATATATATATATATAACTATATTACTACAATGACTGCATGTATAGATAAATACTTTATGAGGTGTAAAACGTTTTATACTTTTAACACCCATTATGTAAAATTATGCAGAAAAAAAAATCTCTTTTTGGATATACTTTGTAGGCATAAGTTTTCATGTGAAGCAAAGACTCCACAAACCATTTTATAAAATTTTCCAGAACAGCATTCAGAAAATAAATTAAATAACGAATTACAAATATTACTAGCTAAAAAAAATTAAATTTACACACCTATTTCAGTTTTACCAGTTGCTAGAGATTTTAGGTGCTGATTTATGTCAATAATTTTTCATAAACTTTCTGAGAAAGGGACAATCTTGTTCTTATTCTTTACATGTTCTACAAATATAAGGACAAATAAAAAACTTATTTTTCTTCATTGATTTCTTCTCTTTTTTAAAAAATGATTAAAAGAAGTATCTGCTGTTCACTAAAATTAGTAAAGACCAGATACTATAAGAAACTTTTTAGTAGATTACTATAATGTTTACCTTAAAACTGATCAAAAACAAGACACACTATCATCAAAACTTTACTTTGCTATAACTTTTAGACAGCTAAAAAAATGTCTATTTTTAATAAAACTAAAGTTTGATAGCTTCAAAAAAAAAATCCTTTTTATAAATGAACTTCTTCAAAACTGAATTGAAACACAATAATCTTTTATGTGTATTGAGAAGTGAAAAAATTCTTAAATATGGGAATACTACTGTGATCAAAAAGGTGAAATTGTCATTTAAAACTCCCAGTAATTTTTTTTGCTTAGGTTGGTAAGACTGTCTATAACAACTGCCAAGTGTCTGTTTGCAAAAGGTTTTATTATTTCAGAGTTACACATGTTTTTGTAAACAACCAAAAGTAAACTTTTCGATTTCAACAATGGGTGATTTTGTTGAGCAAAGAACTTGCATCGAATTTTGTTTGCATCAATTTTTTGGATAAAAAGCATTGCGTTAATGAGTGTCAAACTTTGTTGTCTGACTTTCAAGACCACTTGAAAATGCATTATTACTGGAGATGAGACTTGGATTTTACATATGACCCTGAAATCACCGACAAATCCAGAGAATATCGCGCAAAAGGTGAAGCAAGACTGAAAAGACCACGGCAAGTCGATCAAAAATCAAGGTTATGTTGACAGTTTTCTTTGATTATTATGGTGTAGAGCACTATAAATTCCTTCCGCCGGGCCAAACTGTCAACAAAAAATATTATTTGAGTGTTATGTGTCAGTTGTATGAAGCTACTTGTCTGAATCAGCCCGAATTATGGGCAAACAACTCTTGGTTCCTTCATCACAATAATGCATTATGTCATATCGAATTGGTTCATTGCAAATTTTTAGCCAAAAAGTTAACTAATATCATTCCACAATCACCGCATTTGCCTGATTTGGCCCCATCAGACTTCGAGCTATTCAGCAAACTTAAAAGACCAATGTGGGGATGTCATTTTAACACGATTAAGGAGCTAAACACCGAATTGAAGGTCTTTAAGGCTACACTGGAGAAAGACTTTTCCGACTGTTTCGAGGACTGGAAAAAATGCATTTTATTGGATGGGGATTACTTTGAAGGGGATGAAATTGATTTGGAAGAATAAAGAATTTACATTTTATAAACAATTTCACCTTACTTTTTGATTACAGTAGTAGAAGATTTTATATGCTAAAGATAAAATAGTAAAAAACAATTAATCAAACACTTTTCAATTTTTTTATTTAACAGTTTCTTTACAGAAGAAGACATTTTTTTTTACAATATTGAAATATGACAAATTACAAACATTATAGCTGAGGAGGGTACTGCTTTTTAAAAATTTTTTTTGATATTGGCTACTCTTTTTTTTTTTAAATTTCATTTTCCAGTCTAAACCCTAAATTCAAAAGCACAAACTTGAACAAAGTAACTATATGAAGAAACAGGTTAAGCATGGTAATTCTAGATGTGTAGAGTGGATTCAAACCTTTAAAATCTTGATTATGAGTTAAAATCTAAACTACTAGTCTACTACCAAGAAAAAAAAAGCTCATTAAATAAAAAATATCAAGTTTTTTTTCTTTCATTCTTTTTCTTTGCATAAAGCCAAGGAAATTATTATTATTATTATATATATATATATATATATATATATTATATATATATATATATATATATATATATATATATATATATATATATATATATGTATATATATATATATATATATATATATATATATATATATATATATTATATATATATATATTATATATATATATATATTATTATTATATATATTATATATATTATATATATATATATATAAATATATATATATATATATATATATATATATATATATATATATATATATTATATATATATATATAATTATTATTATTATATACATATTATATATATATATATATATAACAATATATATATATATATATATATATATATATATATATATATATATATATATATATATATATATATATATATATATATATATATATATATATATATATATTATATATATATATATATATATATATATATATATATATATATATATGTATATATATTTATATATATATATATATATATATATATATATATTAGGGTGGTTCAAATTTAGGTCAAAAAATTTTTATGACTAGAGTGGAAGTTTATAAGGTGCACAGACCCTTGTTTTATATATAGGATTTTTTTTTTTTTTTTTTTTTTTTGAAGTTTTAGGGTGGCACACGGCCCAAAAGTACTTTTTTTTTTACCCTTTTTTAATGTTTTTTGACCACTGCGTGCCACCCTTAAACATTATTAAATTCAAATTATTTTTTTTTTACATATTCTTGCAAGGACCTATACAAAAAAATAAAAAGGCACTCTAACTCAATTTATTTTTTGAAAACTTAAAAAATGTCCTTTAAAAATACCTAAGAGCAATTTTTTTTTAAAATCTAATGAATTTTCTATACACGCAACTATTTTAATGACAGCGGTATAATCTCATTGTTCAAATGTAATAATCATACTCAATGTTTAACATCTGCTATTTTAATAACATTAAACAAAACTTATTAACACTGGTAAAGTGTTTATTTTAAAATAAAAATCAATTTTATTATAATTTATTTACATAAAATACATAAAATTATTTACATAAAATAAAAAGTAAAATAAGAAAATTATGCCGAAAATTCTTAAAAAACTGAAAAATAGAGGCCAAGAAATATTCTTAGTTAAAAAAACTAGAAAGACTTTATCATCTATTCAATTTGCAACTGTAGAAGAAGTTATACAGTATTTTCTTTACTTACGTGAGTCCAAACCATCAACTTATCTCAAAAACTTAGTTTGTTGTCCAAACAAAGCTTCTACATTTACACCAAATTGTCCAGATTCGGGAGAGAACTGCTGCGTTATATCTAAGCTGAAAGTTTCATGGGAACTTGGTGGATACAGAACTCGTGACATACAATGCGTTTTACGGTTAGTAATATTTATGAAATCTTAA